AAATTATCAATTTATGTATAAATGTATTTACATATGCATCTAAAATGTGGTGTGTGTGTGCGTGCCTGTGCTCTTATAAATTATATATATTTATTTACATACATAATTCTACTTAGAAAATGTATTATGTATATTGTATACTATATAATATGTATGTATAGTTACTATAGGCATTGTACATATATAATATGATTTTCCGAATTCCATTTTGAATATTTTCCGGTGTTTGATTTCTATAGTATCTGGGATGTTTCTACAGAAGTTAAGCACTGCAGTTTATATCATCTAATACATAATTTTAGAAACGTAAATGTGCTAAACCATCACGCATTACCGTTAGAATTACATTTATATTTTTTTTTCGTGAACATTATTACTATATTGTTATTAGGTGTCAATGCATTTTATATACGGGTTTAAAACAACAAAAGTGTTAAAAAAATGTTTATATAATAACAATAACACATTGCACGTACAAATCGTATTCATACCTACTATAAAAATGTACATTTTCATAATTTCTGTTCAAATGTTAATATACATTTATAATATACATTTATATGCGATGCATGCACATTAAATATAAATCTTTTCTACTGCAATATCGTTTGATCCGAGTTTAGCTAGGTATGCACTTATTTGATCTAATAAAATCTAATAAGTAGAATGATATTATATAAGGCGTAAAAGAGTGTTTATTTGGCGTATTTTTTTAGAGAAAAAAATAACGAAAATAATGAAAATATTATTATCGTACAATATTGTATTATTTGTAGAGAAGTGATGATTCAAACATACATTATATTTTAACATTATACTGTAAAATTGTCTTTCAAATGCTTATGTGTGCAAAATATATTAACCAAAATTTGTAATTATTTACGAATTTAAATAACTTTCTGGTGGATATTAATTGACTAAAACTGTCCATTTTTTAAAAATTTTATGTTAGTTATTATTATTTAAATGTAAAAAGTTGACTCTTTTAAAATTATGTAATATATGAATAAATTGTATTATGTATTGTGTAGTTAATGCCTTATTTAATTATTATAATTTAAATTTAAACTAGTAAGATAGATAACAATATATACTATATTATAATATACTATATTGTTGATGGTACAAAGAGTATGTATTTTGGATAGGATTTATTGAGGTCATATCAAGTCGAAGACCTCTAAAAATCTCTAAAAAAATAATATTACACTTGCGTGTATTTTATCGTTTTAACGAAAACTAATGTACGATTGTGTGCAATCTAGTATATGTATACATTATAAATTTACTAAACATAAATGCAAGATAACACGACAGTTTGTACTTTTTTGTTGGCACAGTGGATCGAGTATAAGATTGACAAATGGTTTTATATACGTGGTGGTATACCATACTTTTATTTATTTGTATATTGTATATATTGTGTTCATAATTAGGTTTTTTTTAATAAAAGTGAAATGTGCATAAATATACTGTATATCTAAAATATAGGTATAAATATTTCAACATTATTTATATATTATTAATTTATTTCAGCCAATAGTACAATTTTATAAAATTATTAGTCTTATTATGACGTTTTATTTAATATTGTTTTTATTATAAAAAAATATAATGTAATAATTATAGTATATAGCATAATATATGGTCTAGTATAATTTGTGTTCCTCTCTGTACAAAATATGTCAAAGAAATGTTTTTTTTTTTAATATAACAAAAACAAACATAAAGAATTATACGTTTAAACTTCATTATGCATATGACAAATATTAACAATAAATATATATCATATAATAATATGACATTTCCATGGTTACCAATAAGGCTGTTGATTTAATATAGAACTTATATTTAATGACAGCCTTCCTCAATACATCTTGTTACAAACCTAGTTACAAGTATCATTGTTTTGTTCAATTATTGTGCTGACATTAGATTAATAATTTTTTAATTTTTTTTTTATTCTTTTGTTATTTTATTTTTTTATACATAAGTACTGATATAATCATAGGAAATAGTATTTATTACGTGTCAATTGAATATATTTTATATTATCAGGAAATATAACATTAAAACGAAACATAAATTATTGTTTATATAACTTATAAATTCATTCAGAGAGTAATATGTCATCAAGTTCGCTGACTTATTTCCCATGATTATATAAATTGGATTAAGTAGGCTTATTATGTTTACATATAATTAAAAACCGCTGAAAACGATTAATTGTAAAAATATCGGTTAAACGACATTTAAGCAAACTCCAAAACGTATTTGTATTGAATTGTTAAGTGAAATAATTAAATTATCATACAATAAATTTTAAAATTGTATTTATCTAGTTTGATAGTATTTTAATTAGTTCACGAAACACAGTACAAACTTGATATATATTATGTATTTTATTATTATTATACAAACACCACAAAAAAGTATTTAAAAATTTTCTTAAAAATAAGGTTTTAATATATTAAAATATTTGGTTTTTAACACTGAATATTAATATTATAAAAATTATATTGATTATAATCAAATATCATATTTTATTAAATTTTAAGCAAAATTCGTTGATTTATAATAATGTGTTTTATTTTTATGAATATTATTTTTATATTGGATCAAAGCTGTACTCTAAAAGTTTTATTTAGTGAATTGTAATAAATGGTACATTTATAAGTGTTACTAAAGTTTTTTTAAAAAATTGGAAAAAAAAACTTAAAAGCAATTAAAATAAAAAAAAATATCAGTTAATTTACTTTGAATATTTTTTTTTAATATACAAAAAAAAAAAAAATCATAGCAAATTAGTTTTTAAAATTTGTCGGAAAAGAATATAACTACTTTTGCGTATACGAAAATTCACCATTCTGCACATCCGAGTATCACATAATTTGTTTTTGTTTTATTCCATATAATATATGTAAAATAAATATAATATGTTTAATAATATATAAAACAGTATACCCTTTTGTCTGCGTCACGTTTCACGTGCTTTAGCAACTTTTAAATAGCCGCTTTTCTGAGTTTTCTTCTATAAGGAGATTGTGAGAAGTATTTGTTAATCTCTTAGCGCAAAGACACTTGTGCTTTTGTAACGCGAGACGCAACCACTTTAGAGTTTTAGTACAATACGTTTGACACGCAATCCCTTACTGTATAATTTATTAGCTATTGAATGAATTATCATGTATAAAAGTATACATCACCTCAAAATGTGTGCATATCTTATACAATTCATTGTAGATATATGTGCTGAACAAATAATTAGTTTCTTATTGTGTGAAATTTCGTTTTTAGTTGAATAATTTATTATTTTTATATTGAAAAAAATCACAAAAATATGTGTGTTAAATCTGATTTTAAAGCATGTAAAAAACCATCCTGAACAAAAACGGTTTATTTATTTATTTTAAATAATATTTCACAGTATATGTATGATATTTCATTTTAAAATTATTGATACAGATGATAACAGTGGGTTAGGTTTAATGTTAAATTATTTGTTAATAAATCACATATATTATATTATTATTTAACATAATATTACAAAGTGATTTTATCGTTAACTTGTAATTCAATACCCACGTCTCACTTAAAGAACAAAGTGAATAGGTTAGAATTATAAATAGCTGTACCCTTTGTGAAACCTTACCACAAAGTTACGATAACAAAGAACATTTTTGATTCACCAACCACGCACTAAGTTTTAAAATCGTACATTTTTATATGATTATAATAGAAAAAAAATAGGATTGGGAACATGGGGTATGTAAAATAAATGTTAACAATTAAAATTTAAGGTATCCAAAAGGATAAAGAAAATTTATTTTTTTAATTCAAGTTTTGGGAAGCTCAATTCACAAAAGTCCGAAAAAATCAAATCATGATTATTTACACATTTTTTTCTGACATGTGTACATATAATAAAATAAAATGAGTACAAATATTTTGAAAATGACATAATGTTTGTTAAATAATACTTAACGCAATGGTGAAAATTATCGATATTTTTGGTTAACAGAAATATAACTAAAATCGTTATTTTTAATTAAATATTCAAATTCATCAACATTTAAACTAAAATTTTAAAATTAATCCACAGTTGTAGAAAAATATATTTAATTTATACTAAAATTTCAAATGCCTATAAATAACTTAAAATTAGTCAACATTTTTTTTTTAATAACTCGTTGTATAAATATGACAATGTAAGTATTAGTGGAAGTTTTTAGGTTTCTAAAATAAGTTTCTGTTTTATGAAAAATAACAAAAATAATTATTTTTTGTAAAAATTCTAACATTAATTACTCAAAAAATGTATATGGCTTAGATTTAATTTAATTTTATAATTTTCAAAAAAAAAAAAAAAAAAAACCACTTATAGAAAATCTCGTATTTGATGTTCAAACCTCGAGATTAAAATTATTTACAAATTTTTTTAATCTCTTCTTAGAAACTAAAATTATTGTATTATAAAAAATTGTACACCACAGTAGTATATTTCAAAAATAATTTTATGTTTGAAGTGTTTTTGGAGGTAAATTTCGCTTGTTTAAATGAAAGGACATATTTGTGTATATATTATGTTCACCTAACCAAACGTGAAACAAAATATTATTTCCCAGTGAAACTGTTAAACTCAAAAGTAAATAAGTACCTATATTAATTTTAAGATTTATGCACATTTTATTTTGTTTTAAGAATGTATTTATAGTATAACAACTCAAGTAAACATATTATTATGTAAATGGATGACACTATTATAAATTAGTTAGCAAATCAAATAACTTGATTTTCGAAACTATAGTTAACATTTTAATCACTTAAACAATGCATATTTTGAATTGTATTTATCTTATGTGTATGAAATATCTAATAATATTGTTCATATATTGAAATTAACTGCTTTTTTTGTAAAATTTTTGTTGTAAAAAAATTATTATTTACAAAAACATATATATATATATATATATTTTACATTTTAATTTTATTATTTACAGTGTACCGGTGCACGATGTCGTCGTATGCTGAATAGAGATAAGAAATCAAAGGTTAGTAAATATTTAATTATTATCTTTTATTACAATATTTAAATTTTTGCGAGAATACTTCTTCATTTTAGTATCAGTTTATTGCGGTATTTGTCCCAATGGTTATCAATACCATTGACAAATTTGTAAAATTTTTATCTTGAAACAATTATAGGTATTTTATTTTGTATTTTATAACATAATTATTGTGTCATTGATGAGATAAATTAATTAAATCGTCTTACTACTATATATAGTAAATTAACATTTTATAATGCATTTTGTTTTACTATCAGTATATTACTATTATAATATTGCAATTTTTATTATTATTTTTTTTTTATAAATAATCGCACAAATAATTAATGTTTAGTCATATTTTAATAAAGACTTATGCATTACATGCGTTTAGAAACCTCGTAAAGTATATTTTTCCCACAATTTTTGTGTATCACTTATGTAATTAGTTAAAAGTATAATTTATAAATGTTAGTATTATTTAGCTAAAATATATTTTATAAAGTTGTTAGCGATAAAATAATATTGTGATATTAAAATCCACAATCATGCTAACTGATTTATTAAAATGTGGGGGGTGACATGTTATTGTATTACGTAATTGTTTTAAATGTCTCTAATGTCGTCATGGTTGATTAAAAAAAAAAAAATACATGGAGTATATAATTTATTTCTCGATTAACTGCATTTATCGCATTTATTATAAAACAGTTCATATAGTACCTATACTATTTTTTATACGTTATACTAGTTTAATCAAATATAATTTCAAAATAAACTATAGGTATTATTATTGGTGATTTTATTATGAATTAATTTATTCAGTACATAATATAACATTGCGTTGTTAGTAAAATATAACTCTAATACAATAATCTATGCAGTATAATTTATGTATAATGCAATAATTAATCATTTATTGAGTATTTCTGACATACAAACATTTAAATGAAATCGACAATAATTTAATTTACCTAAAGTCCTGAACTATTTGAAGTACTATATTTTGGTATAATATATATATATAAACTTGTATATTTGCGCAGTGCGCTACAATATTTTCATATACAGTTAAACATAAACTAACGATTGTATTTTAACGTCAACCTATAAAATAAATTTACTTTCAACTACAGTAAGGATTTAAACGTAAATATAATATTACCATTGTTAATATCGCTACTTACTTCTTTTAAAGATGTACCTAGATATAATTTTAAAAGTTTTTATTTCAAAATATATGAAACATATTTTCTGGTGATTGAAACAATTTTGAACCAGTGATTTAATTTTAAATACCAATATGGGCTGATTAATCAACAAGCTAAAATTAAACTAAAATTTATAATTTTTATAAAGAAAAAAAATTGGAATTTATTGGTAAATTTTAGTAAATTTGAGTACAAATACCAAAAAATATACATACACACGTTCTAAGTAATATATTACTGCTTTTTAGTTATCTATTAAGAATTAGATTAATTAAATTTTTGGAGAAGCTTATATTATGTTGTTAAAAACTAATTTTTCTAAATATCTTTATTAGAAATTAAACTATAATCGTAGTACTTATTAAATAAGTACTTTTTTTTTTTTAGTTGTTTGATTTTGAATGTAAGACTGACATTTTTGTTTTTCATTAATTATTTTACCTAATGAAATTTATGAATTAGTTATTGAACATATTTATTTTCACATAGAAAATTGATAATTTCAATTTTAATGTCGAAAAAAAATAAATATTTTCTTAACTAATAATTTATAATATAAGTAAAAAAACATTTTCATTGTTATAAATTGCATATTTTTGTATGATAAATTGTATGATTATATTAATATATCATACAAAAATAAAGAAATCGATTAGTTCATTAAAATCATTACCGAGAATCCCATATTACATAAATATTAAACATACACACTAAATTAAATATTAACCAACCTTTATCTTCAACATTTGATTTTACAATATGATATAAATTTAAACAAGCTAATATAATTTTTAATAAATATGTATAGGTATTTTATATTTAAATAAAATATTTACATAATGTGTGGAATTTTAAAATATCTAAATCTATGACGATTAGCATTCAAAAGAAATAGTTTGCATGTTATTAAAATGAATAATCATCCACTAAAATATTCTCTATTCTTCAAAGATTTAATTAAATTGTATTTTCATTAATAAGTTAGCCTTTCAAATGCCGTATAACTCTAGAAATTTTAATATGTTTATATATTATATTTATATATATGACAGAAATGTATCTGAAAGAGGCAGATCATTTTCATAATGGAGGTATTTATATGAATGACTGAATGACGTGTGGCTTGCAAAGTTGTTTTAATAATATTAATATGCTGGCACCCATTTAAAATTAATGATATCATAATTAATTATTTTTAGTTATTGGATGTAATTTAAATTTTTAAACAAATTATATTTATATGATATTATAGTAAATCATAGTATATTCCTAGTAAATTGTATCAGAAATATAAATGGATTATAAATATAATTAAATATTAATTTGAATCGATGAGGTAAAATATTTAAAAAAAAATTAAGTATTTAATGTGTAAAAATTTATCTTAGTGTCATATTAAGAATTTTATTATACAATTTAATAAATTATAAATTATTTTATAATGATTCAATAAATTTAAAACTATCATCTAGCTTCTAATGTCATCAGTGAGAAACGAAAAATTTCACTTCGGTTAAACTGATAATAATCGTTATTTTGATAATTTATCCTGTTCAAAATATTTTACTATGATAATTATTTATCACTGTATCTTGATATATAAATTTGACAAAACATTTTTATTTATATTTAATACGATTAAAATATATATTTGACTTAATACGTTATTGATGATAACTGATTTTTGACTGCTATGGTATAATTAATCGGTGGTTATAATTTACAAACTATATTTTTTTATTTTATAATTATCGCCCATTAAAATTAATAGTTTAATTGAAACAGTAATTTAAATTTTAAATTTATTCTCAAGTAAAAAATAAGATATGTAAATTAAAATTATTTATTATTTAAAAACTATTAAACAATTTAAGTTATACTCTTTATTATTATTATGTATACTTTTATAATTAATGTAATAAATTATACAATTTTTAAAAACCTTGAAATATTTTAAAATAATTAACTCTAAACTTAATTAATTTATAAATTGTTTTATTTTAACCATTTATTATATTATGTATTGTATTGCTTATTAAATAAAGGTATGGGTTTTATTTTAAACTAGTTGTATATCTTTACCTGTAAAAAATTAATAATTGTAATTAATTCGTGGCTTGATGTATTTCGGCTTAAATATAATAACTTTACTCGTATGAGCAAATAAGCTTAGCCAATCTGGGTACACTGCTACTTATGTAAATGAACAAAACATGTAAGCAAATTAGAATTTTTAAAATTACGGAACATTTATGTTACAATTGAATTCAATAATAAATCATTGCACACGAAAAACTGATAAACAGTCTAGAAAATGTTTTAATTAATATAATATTATTTTATGAATAATACTATTGGTTAACCTTGTTTTCAAAAAATGTAACATTTAATATCAAGTAAAAGCAATTATTATAGTATTATATCATACATTATTTTTACTATATGATTTATATTTTAATACTTCATCAATAACACACCATTAACAGTGTAAATAGGTTCATTATATAAGTAAATTATAATTATTCGTAATATTTTGAAAATTGCATCTAGAAAATGATAATAAATTCAGTAGTTAAAAGTTTTAAGTTCTCAAAATTAAAATATTTTGCATCGTAAAATTTTGTTGAAAGTGACTTAAAATTTTCTTAAAAAAATGAGCTTATTTTTTTAAGATACTTTTAAATTGATATTAGTTTATGAGGATCCTTGTATTTTATTAATTTTGCATAAATACTTTTTTATAATATTTAAAATTTTTGAGTAGATATTTTATTCAATATTAAATCATTAAATTCGATATTAGAATTCAAGGTTTATGATTTTTTATGTAAAAAACCATTTTAAAATGTTTGTATTTTATCAGAATTTAGTTTTAAAATGTTTTTAAAAAAATGTGTCGAACAACTTATAAGTAGCCTTGAATAAAGCTTTTTAAGCCTTTTGACCTACAAATATTTTTTTTATCATAATTCACTTAGAATTTATTAACAAATTTAAATTAATTTCTCTCTATTCCTCTTTTTTAAGAATATTTTAATAATCCTATGAAATTTCAATAGCAAATTATTATTGTATTTTGCAAAACGAAACTAATTACGTTTGGTTTTATAACTATATCATGTAAGTAATTAAAATCTGTTTGTTTTAATATTTTATAAAATCTTTATATATTTAAAGTATAATATTATTATAGAATAATAATAATATATAACAACAAGTATTTAAAGTTAATAAAAATATAGTTAGCAATAATGTTTAATCATTATTGAATGAAAAAATATGTTGATAATTTGTTTTGTATAGTTTAGTTCATTCCAATTATAATATTGATACTGTAAATTGATTGAATAGATTATGCATTATTAGGGAAATTTAATTTTAATAAATTACTATAAATAATAAATATATTTATATATTTATTTATTATGTATAATATTTAATAAAACATTGATAGTCAAGATAAATTTAAATCAAGCAATTTTTGTATTAGTGATTTGTTCAATTTGTTATGTAGTATTTTTGTTAATAATTATATAAAAAACATGAGGTTAATAATTTCGAAAATGGCGGTTTTTTGTGGATTTAGATTTTTTTTATGCTCGATTTTGAAAATTTAATTTTCATATACGAGTATGTAAATCTGTCGGATTTTAAATACAATGCTGGCGTTCCAAAAATTATGTAAAAACATTACTAAATTAAACTGTAGTAATTTTTTTTACTGCAGTTAAAGAACCTCGAAAATATCTACATATCCCACGAATTTTTAAAGATTTTTAAATCAAACTTGTA